AGGGCAGTCAGCTGATACTGAAGGAGCAATTTCCCTACATTTTGTGCTTCAAGATGTCAATGCACCTGAGATGTCAATGCAGGCTAAGAAAATGGGATTTGTTCAGCCTGGAAAAAAGAAGGCTTCAGGGTGACCCAACTATGGCCTTCCTGTACCTGAAGGGACCCTACAAGAAAGATGGAGAGGGACTTTTTACAAGAGCATGTAGTGACAGAATAAGGGAGAATGGCTTCAAACAGAAAGAGAGTAGGCTTAGATTAGACATTAGGAGCAAGTTCTTTGCTGCAAGGTTGGTGAGGCACAGAAACAAGCTGTCCAGAGAAGTTGTGGATGCCCCTGGAAGTGTTCAAGGCCAGGTTGGATGGAGCTCTGAGCAACCTGGTCTAGTGAAAGATGTCCCTGCCCTTGGCAGGTGGTTGAAACTAGATGATCTTTAAGGTCCCTTCCAACCCAAGCCATTCTATGGTTCTATGATTCATTTTTAAGGTTATAGTTAATAGATAAGCATTTACAAATTATTGCTATCAGGAGACAATTATTGGTCAAATTCCTATACCCAACCCAAGGACAAAAAGTGGTCTAAATTGCATACAGATGAATAGAGAATTTGTTGCTCTCCTGTGGTAAGCATATTGACCATCTTCTCCTGCTTGAAGCCTTTAATGTTAGCACAGGGGGGAAGGCTCTCCTCCTAACTAGAGGGTGATTCTGGTGTTTGGGTTTTTAATTGGGTTTTTTTTGTAGGTTTTTTGTTTGTTTCGTTCTCTTTTGGTTTATTTTTGTTGTTGTCGTTTTAGTTTTTTTCTTTTTTTCTTTTTTTTTTTTTTGAGACAGAGAGACTGGGGTTTTGAAGCAATTTATTAAATGGAGTTACCACAAATATGTCTCCTTTTTACATGTCCATTTTCAGGTTAGCGACCTGTAAAAATACTCACTCTGCTGAATCTTTTAAAGCATGCAATAAAACAGAGTTTTATGGAAGAGAACAAGGCAGTGTATACGAGTCTGACAGATTTCAATGAGCCAAAATGTTCATTGTAATTTTATGACAGGGTATCAATATGAGAACTGACAATTACCTGTGATCAGTGAGGCCTGAACCTCTTTCCACCAATAGGTGCTTTTTTAATCACTATGGGCTGTGTTTTTGTCTCACAGTTTTAGGCAACAGCCTTCTGCAAAAGTTTTGTGTAAGGTGTGAGGTTTAACAAGCCCTGATTCAGTAATGATTTTAATGGTTAATATAATTTTCCCCCTTAGTCCCAGAGGTCTGAGACCATAGAAATATTCATTTTTTTCCGCTGAAGGATGTTATGTGAGCAGGGGAGATTACGAAGTTTGGTTGGATTCTGTTGTCTCATACATGTGTGCTCGCTGGCTGCTGGACTGAATGGAAAAGTGCTAGGCTCTTCCTGCCTCTTGCTTGGGGAGGGTTCAAAGAAGTTTTTTTCCTCTGCCCTATTAGAGATTTAAAAAAGAAAAAAAAATAGGGACACTACTGCCCCTGATTACTCCTCCTTTGACAGCTTGGCCAACAGTTTCAAAAGCAGTTGAAAGAAAACAGGAAGACACACAGACAGCGTGATGATTTAAACTTTGTTTCTCTAGGAAACAGGGCTAGGAAGAGTACGTAAGCCTCTTTGTAACAGAATCAACCTTCTCCAGACTTAAAATTGGCTCAGAAATGAAAAGGAATGGATCCTCCATGTGCTGATTATTTTAAAAATGCTCACAAGCTGTCATTCAGTTTTATGACTATTTTGTGACTTGCTCCTGGAGCTGAAAGTTTGATGCTGAGGTCTTATATATATATAGTGTAGTAGAGGTCCCTTAGGTCATCATAATAGAGATACCTTTGTTATGGTATCCCAGTGCTACCCTAGCACTTATAGGGATTGCTCCTATTGATGGGGGTCCCCATCTCCCCAGTACTAATTGTGCTTCGGTGAATGTGTCTGACAGCAATTTGCTCTCATTGACTGTTACATATGATGTGCTTACAAAAATTGCTAGAAAAATCCAGATGGGCCCTGATCCAACCAGATTGGCGAGAGAATAGTAAAGGGCAGAAAAGCACAGCTGCCTTTGCATGGCACAATGCAGGGCTATCGTTCACTCTCTCCTTCCATGCCTCTGGCACTGGATGAGCCCTGTTGAGCTTTTTTTGTCAGCTGGGAACTGAAAAGGACAGTACCAAAGAACTTGCTGTTTTTTACAAATCTGTGTCCTGATGCAAACTTTTATTGAAATAAAGTGTGTGGAACAATCTGAAGCTGAAATCCATTTATCTTTGTTTTTTATTTTTTTTCCCAAGCCTATTGCTGGGAACTTTCTTCCCCAGAGACTTACAGACTCTTCTGTCATAACAGGTGCAGCCTGGGGGACGGTGGTAGCAATCCACGGATCCTCCTGGGAGTAATTACGCTTCTTTTCGAGTTCCCCTTGTCTGATGCATCTCTCTGGTAGCACTTCTGCCAGGAGCTGTGCTCATACGTTAACTTTAATCCATTCAGTAGAGGGAGTCAGATGCTAAAATCTGAGCTAGCCCCTCCAGATCAGGACCTTGTACTTGCATGCAGGATCTGAAATACTTGATTCTTTGCTGTCTGCTTAACCCAAGTGGGGGTGTCTGGGATGTCTTGATCTCAGCTGAGCTGGCTAAACTCTGCTGTAATGATACAATCACAGCAGCAACAACAGCAATATAATTAAGAGTTATCGTGCCAATGCTCTTCAATACTGCCTTGCAGGATCCATCTCTGCAAGTTGGTGATATTTCTCTACATCTGTGTAGCTCCCCTGCCTCTTTGGTGGACACTGTTTGCAGCAGTACTTGCTGGTGAATAGTTGGAGGGACATTTGGTTCCATTTTATGATGAACTTTCCTCTCTTGTGTCCGTGGAGATCTGGTTCCATAGCACAGCTTCTAGGCACCAGCTGCCACCTGTTTTATAAGGAAGAAAGAGGGAACTGATGTAGGGAAGGTGCACAGAGGCATATAAGGAATTACGCCTCCCAAACTTGGTGTGTCTCTTCAAAACCAGGATGTTACACAAAAAGCTGATGTGAATTTGGCCTACGGATCTTCTTAAACTGTAAAAACAACCATGGACCCCAACTCCCCAGCATCTCAAAGGCTGCCTTGAATGGCCAGGGTGGGAAGATGTGGGTCACAGCAGGTGCCATGGGTCATGGCCCATCCCAAAGAGCAGAAGGAAGGATGGCAGGAGGCCCCTGTACCCCTGCCCAGTAAGGGATGCCTCATGAGAATCAATGTGGGTTTTTGTTCTTCTCAGCTGCATGGTGGGAGAGCAGTGAAATCTTACACACAATCCTTGTAGCCGATCAGCAGAGAAGCAAAAGTCAGCTGCATGTCCTAAAATGATGCCTGTGGTGTAAAACACATCAGGATGGTAGTGACTAATACTTTGGAGACAGACATGAAGAGGGAACCAGTCTCAGACTGGTGGCTAAAATTTGGCCTATTTGACTTCTTCTCTGTTATCCCAATTATTTCATTAGGAAGTTTTGAACCAAGAAACACTGTGGGATGCAAAAATCTGCTTCAAATGTTCATTCTTAGAATGGTAATTGAGTTTTAAATATTTATAGCAGAACCTGGAGTTGTACTAGTGAATGCATTATAGACTCTCCCCAGTGGTAAGCCTGGCTTGCTGGAGTCCTTGCTCTGCAAATAGCCCCACTACAATGAAGAGAGGGGAAAGGAGGAGGAGGAGACCAAGTAGGCTTCTGTGAAAATGATTTATTTAGCTGATTTTAGAGGTCGGTCTTACTCCTGCACAGGCATCTCTTTCAGTGTGGAGCTACGGGAACTGGGGAGGAGAGGGTTGTTCTAACCAAACCTGGAACCTGGATAACCTAAAGGTCTGCATTCATACCACTTGCAACTGTTTGCCATAAAACAACATTAGCCCTGCAAAAAGATGAGTCAATGAGGAGTGAAAGACTCTTGGCTACTCTTGCCATTTGTAGCTCTTGCTGCTTGCCATTACTGATCCCACGTGAAACACTAGGAGGTAACATATGCATTTTTTTCTTTTACTGCTGATGGAAATAAGATTGTTTTCCCTGCAGGCAGTGCAGAAACGAATCCATGATCCTGTGCTCTGTAACAGGAATAGGCCGTGGTGCAACGGATAAAAGAGAGGCCTTATTCCTTAGCCCAGCCCTAGTCTGCTGTGGGAAGACAAAATGCCACATGTACGTATTCTCTTACTTTAATGTGCACTAGTAATACAGCTCTAAGCCCCTAGCTGAGATTGATGGTCCTCAAGGCTCAAGGCACCAGTCACTTGAGCCCGAGAACCTGTTTTGCAAGGGGGTCTTCAGCAGCCCTTGCGTACCTCGCAGGGGCAGCTCTGGTGGGTGTGCAGGAACAGCAGCCCCTCGGGGAGTGCGCTCAGGTGCACCAAGGCGCCCCTCACCTTGGGCCAGGTGGCAGAACAAGCTGCAGCTTAAACCCGCAGAGCCCTTTGCCAGCGCTGAGGAACTCTCCGAGTACCGCATCGCCCCTCTCGCCGCTGGCCGGGCCGTACCGTGCGGGGCACGGGGTGTCCGCGGCTGCCGCTGCCCTCACCGCTGCGCGGCCGCCCCTCCCCGCCCGGGCGGCCGCCGGGGGGTCCCGGTCCCGCTCCCTCTCGCCCGCCGCGAGTGGCCGGCGCGGCCCGGGCCGGGGCGGGGTGGGGCGCACCAGGGACCGGGCGGCTCCGGCGCTCCCGTCGCCTCGGCCCCGCCTCGCTCGGCCCCGCACCCCGGCGGGGCGGGGGGGACGGGGGGGGGCGGCGCCGGCTGCCGGGGCGAAGGCGCCGGCTGCGGCGGCGGGCGCGGGGCTGCCACCCCGCGGGCAGGCACGGCGGCGGCGGATGGCGGCAAGGTCAGTGGGCGCCCGCTTCCCGCCGGCGGGGCTCCCTTCCTCCCCGGCTGTCCCCCCGGAGCGGCTGGCGATGCTCGCGTGCGGTGGATCCAGCGCCTCCCCCTCCTCCTCTTCCCGGCGGGGAGCGGGGCCGCCCCGGGCGCGGATGCCCCCCGCCACGCCTCCCTCCTTTCCTTCCCTCCCGCCCGGGCGAGGGGGAGACGCGGGTTTCGTAAGCGCCTGTCCTGGCCGGCCCCGGCGCGCTCGGCTGGCTGCGGGCAGAGCGGGGCTGCGCGGCTGCCGCTCCCGCGGGCGGTGCCGGGGCGATGCGCGGTGCAGGTGAGCGGCCGAACAGCGCCCGGGTTCGCCCGCTGCCCGGGCACTTCGGAACCCGGCGGGGTCGCGCCTGCATCGCGCCAGCGCTGTTCCGAGCTGAGGAGGGTTATCCGTGTGCTTCGCGAGCAAGTAAATCCAGATAACTTAGAGAAGGGGTCTGGTGGGGTCCTTTGTTCCTGCGGGAGGTTTGGTGGTGGTTTAGCGTTGTTTGTTGTTTTTCTTTTGTTGGTGTTTTTCTTTTTTGTTTTTTGGTTGATTTTCCGCTCCCTTCCTCATGCCGGCAGTTAGCAGAAAAGATATGCGGTAACTCGAGTGCTGTCATTAAGTGCCAGACATCTCGCCGGGCTTTTAGGAAAAACGGCTTTAATTATTTTTTTAAGCCAACGAGGAGGAGAGGCGTGAAGCCCCCTGCCCAGGTAGGATCCCTGCTCTGCAGAGTGGCAGCGTTCAGAGTTCCTTACGGCGTTAGATGCTGTCTCCTGGCCGAGGTCGAGCTGCCAAAATGTGATTTACGGACCCTGCCGACATCCATCACCCGAGCGCTTTGTTCCGACACGCCGGACGGCGGAGGGACTTCTCCGGGAGCAGCTCTGCCTCTCCTGAAACGTGGATACGCTTAGGATGTGTGCACCAGGCTGCTAGCCAGGGAGGCATTAAGGGTGTGTGTTTGTGTAATAGGTGTCTAGCAAAAAAAAAAAAAGCAAACAGGCTTTTGATAAGGTCCCATTAATTGAACTGTAAACATAGTAATTCCTCTGTTCTTGTTTCCTCACTGAAACTCTTCCTCACAGATATGGCCCGTGGTTTTTGTTTTCTTTTTCTTCTTTTTTTAGTAGTACATTTCAGAGAGCTTTTGATACAGATTTGCTTAAGATTTTGGGTCTGATTGAAGCTGTTGGAACGTATTTGTAACCTTCCAACTTATGATGTATATGAAGGTCCTGTTTTCAGCCTTTCTGTACCCAGGCTGGGGTTACAGGCCTTTTTGAAATGTCCACCGAGTCTGCACTAATGTAGAGCCTATGGGATTATAATAACAGTAATTTAGGAAAAAAACCCCTTCTGCTGAAAACACTATTGTTGGCTATGTAATAGTGTGTGACTGGATTTCAGCTTATTGATTGCGTGAAAGGTGAAACATAAAAGTAGCTCTGGCCGAGGTGCACACAGCTGGGACAGCCTTGTGCTGTTGCTGGCTGTGGCACTGGCAGCACTGGTGTGCCTGTGATGGTTGGGATGGAGCTCTGTGGAAAATTCCCACCATGCACATGCTTTTGTTGACAGTGTAGTTAAAAAGCCCAAACCTCTGGTTCAAAGCTGTGAAGGTCTGTTAGAGGGTTTGGATAGCTGTCCGGGTATGTGGAGACAAATGGAAATGATGTGTTTTCTGCTGCTTGTCTGGGGGGATCAAAATTGTTTGGGCCACACCTGCTGCAAATTTTATATGCATATTGGGAAGTCTTGGGAGTACTGGACAGTACTGTGGAATATCCAGATCAGAAATGCCAGAGAGGCAATAAATGTTGCTTTGGCTCTAATATAGTCTGTTTAAATTATATGTTCAAATGCAATAACTTAGAATGAGTGTCTCATCCAAAGATTTGCTGTGGCTTAGCAGAGTGCCTAGGGAACGGGCAGGTAGATGCTTCTGGGAGCTGGTCACCCTTCCCCAGATGAATCACTTGGGCTTTCAATTTTGCCACAATCCATGGATATGTTTTTGTCATACCTGTTCCTGGCTACAGTTCAGGGTTCTCACCTTGACCCCTCGATGAACTGGATCAGAAACTCCGTCAGCCACAGTCTGACAGAGGCTTCAGCATAGTTTTAACTTCAGTCATGTGAGTTGTTCTAATGAAATTAAAGAGGGATACTAACAAGCAGGCTTGCATGCAAAGGGTTTAAGCTCAGGGCTGCCTCTCACAAGCCTTCCAGGGTGTGAACTACACATATTTTTTACTCGCATGGGGCTGAGAACAAATGCCGTATCATGTTTCGGTTCCGTGCAGAAGAGCTGACCACACTTGGGACCAGCACTGGCAGAGTAGGAACAGTGGTACCTCTCTGCTGGAGTTTTATGGAGGATTAGTTTGCACTTGGGACCTGAAGTCTTGCTAGAAACTAATGAAGCTTGTACTCCTAAGTGCTCAAGCCATCCTTTTGAGTGGAATTTAGTTTTCTAAGTCAGTGAAATATTTTTCAGACTGTGACCCCAATCAGTTGATGGTGCCTAGAGGATATGGGTCGAGAGCTATGCATGGACCTAGATGATGACCTGATCAGTTGATGTGACCCTACCAAAGACCCTGTGATTTGTGGTTTTGACCACATGGCTATTGACTTTGGGACCTGGCCTAAGGCTCCAGCCCTTTTAAGAGGAGTTCTTACATTGCCCTTTGTATACCTGTGTTTATTTGTCAGCCGGTTCTGCAGCTTTTCTGTACATCAAGATATTCAGGCAAGAAATTTCACTGACTTGAGCGTGGTTATTCAGCTGAGTAAATGGTGTGCAATCTGAGTTCAAAGCAGTAGATTTTGGGCATGAGTGCTCTCTTTTTGTGGAGCATGTGGGAAACTAGTTTCCAGAGCCTGGGATCTTGGCATGCCTTAAATTCTCTCCTGTTTTTACACTTTGCCTCTATCCGGTGGGGTGGGTGGGTGGGCTGGAAGTGAGATAGGAGGCTGGGCTATCCTCCCCTTTACAGAAAGCAGCTCTTCCAGAGAAATTCCACAGCTGTTTCTGAGTCTGTCCAGAGTTGCCTGCCTGCTTTGTTGATGCTGTTTTCTGCTGCTGTACTGTGCTCTGCGATGGGAGCAGAGGAGTCCTTGGAACTGATGTAGCTCTGTAGCATGATCCGTGAAACCGAGAGGGGTTAGGGGAAACCCTTCCAGCTCTCATCAGTGCAGCATCTCCCTATGTCCTCGGCTGACAAGGGCTCAGCATTTGTTGATACGACTGCAGCAGAGCTGCCCCCTGCCTCAAAGGCACCTTTGGTGACCAAGCACCAGAAACATGGGCTTAGAGATGCTGGGGATGGTAAGCAGAAGGATGCTGAAGTCTCTGGGATAAGTTCATTTCCAGGGCTGGTGCTTGTGAAGGAGAGAGGAGCCCCAGCTGCTTTCATAGTTAGAGCTGAGTAATAGTCCTTTAGCCTGACAAGGCATTTCACCCCTTTCAGATGCAAATCCCCTTGCCCTGTCTGTCTTCCTGCTGCAGAAATTGCCCCTCTGGAGTAACCCCCAGATGTAAATGAGTTTGCAATTTGCCCCTTCCCACTCCAGATGCAAAACAGCTGGGCAGTTGCAGAGCTGAACTGCAGTGTGTACTGTGCAGCTTCCAGGCTCGATTGAGCAAGGCATTGTTTTCTGGACCGTAGCAGAACATGGAAACACCACTAATCAAACACACCACAGTTTTCATCTGGTTTTATTTTATTTCATTTTAACTTAGTTTCCCCAGGAAATGAGCGCTTTTGTCTCCTGTTTGGCCAGTTTCAACCAGATTGCACCAATAGTTGACAGTCTGGAAGATCACTAATTTCCCACTTGTGTTTATTAAGATTAGTGGCTGGCTGGGAAATCTTTAAAGCATTGCTCTCTCTGACAAAAACTAGACTGTTTACAGCTATTCTGTGTTCTGCTGATAGCAGCTGCCTGGCCAGGCATTGCATGTGTGGTGGTCAAACATACAGCACCTCTCTAGCCCTGGCCAATTTGCAGGGTGTGCTTGGTCTCCAGGGCATGGGTGGCTATGAGGTAACGTCGGAGGGAGCTGCAGTGGCTGCAGTGGAGGGGCAGGAGGACAGAGGACACAGATCTCCCACAGATGGGTCCCATTTGGTACTCTTCCTTGCAGCCTGGCTACCCTTTAGTTTGTCAAGCTAAAGCCACCTGAGATTTAATGTGGCTTGCAGGCTGACACTCGTAGCTTGGAGCCTGCTTTCTTTGACCTCCAGGACACCTTGGGCTGAATGAAGGTGAGCATCAGATCAGATGGGAATGTGCATCCTGGGCAGGACTTATGTGCAAACTTGCACGTGTGCAATGGTGGCATGATAATCTGGGTGTTCACCAGCATCATCCTGTTGAATTCAATGATAATTTGACACCAATAACAGTCAGAGCCATATTTTTCTTCCAAAATGGCTTGAGAGTGAATACAGTCCTTGATTCCCACACAGCCCTCTGCAGGTGCGCACTTGGGTTGATGGGGTACTGTAAGGTGTCAGGGGCATGCTTCTGTGTTGCTAAGCATCCCAGTATAGATGCAGCTGGTTTGGCTTGGGTGGTCTGCCTTGGAAATCTGGACAACACTGTACTAAGAAAAGCAGACTCACCCTCACCCAGGCTGTGTGCTATACAGTATAGCTGTGTTCCATGTGGTGGGCACAGTTCTTCCAGACTTGGACTGAAGGAAGGACAAGCATCGACATTAGAAATAGGTTTCAGAGGTGTCAAGAACATTTGTGGGATGCACATGCAGTTCTTCAGCCAGTGTGTGTTTTGATACCCTCTTTGTTGCTGCTGATCTTCAGACAATACATACCTGTTGTCCTGGGGCATAGAGCATGGTTCTTCAGAGATCACCAGTGTCACTCTCTAATATCAAAATATTATGTGACACCTTAGAGGGCCAAGGTGAGTCTCAAACACCCTTATGCCACTCCTGTTCAGACAGCCTGTGGTGGAGGTAAAAGCAGATGTGTCTGTCAAGGTGAGATGAAGGGAGGAACTGTGTAGCTGGACCCATCATGGGTTATGGAGGATGTGGAGCACCAAGTCATGCCAACCGGGCAAAAGGAGATGTTATTCCCTTTCCGCACACACAGACTCTGCCTGTGAATCTCTGGCATCTGAATGCACTATTAGAGAAGTGTCACTCAGTGAAGGAGAATATCTCTTGCTTCCCTTCTTGTCCTTAGGCACCAACTCAGACCACTGGCATCTTGGCATGGTAGATGGCTGTGGTGAGAATGGACTCTTGGGCTTGGACAAGACATCCT